ACAGCAGAAGGTCCTTCTCAGCCCACATCTCCAGCCTATCCAAGTTCCTCTGAACAGCAGCATGACCCTGTGGTATTATCAGCCACTTCTCCCAGCTCCGTGCCAACTGCTGAGGGTGCACCCTACCCCATAGTCCATCATTAACATCTTAATGATGTTAAACACAATCATTCCTCATACCAACCCTTGGTATGCAGCACTGGTGACTGGCCTCCAGCTGGACTTCGTGTCATGGATCACAGCTAGCTTTCAACCCCACTTATCTAACCCGGGCTTTGTCACCTCACCTGTGAGGATGCTGTGGGAGACAGCACCAGCAGCCAAGGCACACAGCACCCGCTGCCTGGCACTGCCTCCAGCATGGCTTCAGCAGGCAGGTGGAGAAGGTGCCCATCAGCCACCAACTTCCCCCTACCACTAAAGTCCTTTCTGAGGGCAGCTCTGAGCACCCCTGCCCAGCCTCTCCTGGCTGGGGAGTGTTGAGCCCAGATCCCAGTGTCCCAGGTAGCACCTCAGGTGAGCACAAGCAGGAATCTCCCCTGAGTGAGTCTGTCTGCACTGCTCTGAGGAGAGGGATAATTTAAGGTCACCACAAAACCAGGCATTAGGCACACAGCTATGACTCAGGCAACAAGTCCCTTGCTGTCTGAGTGTATTTAACTGGAAACCAGCTGGTGTGTAGGGGCTTTCCAGCATCTTACCCTTTGACCCATCCCTCCTCCAGTGCCCACCTGTGCACAGCCCGCGGGAAGCTTCCCCAAGCTCCAGGAGCTGAGCAATCCCAAGCGCTTGGCCTTGAATTCCCTTTGCCTCAGACATGTGGTCAAGCTGCTGAAGCTCTGGAAGTCCCCGTGAGTCAGCCAAGGGCAGCCCCTGTGCAGGCACCAGCGCCACTCCAGCGCCACTTGCACAAGCAGATCACGGGGCTGAGGTCACACTGTCCTTCGGGACTCAAGCTCTGGCGAAGGCGCAGCAAAGCCCCAGCACGTGCTGCAGTCAGGCAGTGCCACGGCATCAGGTCTCATGGCTGGTGGGGAAGCTGGTACCAGCCCTGTGACACGAGTAGAGCTCACCCCAGCCCAGTCCCTCCCAGGCCACCCAGTGTGCGCCACTTGCTCTGCACATGAGCTGCAGTTCCCTCATCTCGTTCTTCTGACACCCAATCTCCTTTAGGGTGTCAGAAGAACACTGAGCCCAGAGGATTCTTTTTACCCTCCACGCTGGCTGATCCCCAGGGAAACACTGTCTGTCACCCCAGAGTACCTGGACACATCACCCAAACTCTGCTGTTCACAGATCACAACTGCCAAAGCAGTCTGGTGGGTAAAGGATGGTCACACTAGGAATGGGTTTAACCCTGCTGGCCATACGCTGCTCCTAAGAGCACTGGGGAAACACCTCCCCAGGTCAAAAGGTCTTTCTGCCCAAGGGAAGAATGGGGTAGTTGCGCTGTTGTGCATGTCTGCAGAAGCCAAGCCCCCATGAAACACCAGATAGGAGCCAGCGTTCAGTGCCAGCCACAATGTGATGC